TGTCAGTAATAATACACTGATTCATTTTTAAAGAATATATATATATATTAATACATATATTAATATATATATATATTAATATGTATATTAATATTTAGATAAAAATATTTAGATTTTTTTATTTTGTTTGTTGTAGTACTTTTAAATACGATTTAGAATATTCTATGATTTTTTCACGATTTTTTAATTATTTTGAAATATCTATCGAACATCCTTAAAGAAAAAAAGATTAATATCTTATGGGGTTGTATTGAAATATTTGTATGAAATATTTTTATTATTGGATATCTACTAAATAATTTTTAATTAGAGAATTAATAAGAAAACTTGTGTTGGGGATTTGACTTTAATAGAAATACATCTAAATCAAACTGTTTTACTGTTTTTACGGCACTAATCTTCGACACGTTATTGAATGTTTATCAATCTCAATGTTTTGTGTGAAAGTGATGAAATCGCATGATCACATTGACATATGATCTTCTCGATGTGATACTGTAACTGAACATATTGCGATTTGATCGAGAGAAACGAAAACTATACAACCTAGTGACACGCTTCGAGGTATACCACACTATTTTTATCACGAACTCGAATCTGCCACGGCGCCACAAAACCTTGTGCGATGCATTAACGCCACTGTAGCTTATTTCATTTTTAAACACGTGCGGTGAATACACTTTCTTTTCGAATATGAAGCCAGTTTACATCAATTCCAGACAACAATTTATTTCCGAATCTAATTTTTGATCGTGAAATGCTAACATTTCGTAAAATTAATAAATCAAAATTAATAAATCAATATGAAATGGACGATTTACTGCAGGGAGAAAAGATATAAAGAAACAAAAAAAACAGTTGTCAAATTAAATTAATCTAACACAATTTTTATAAATGGTGCAACTAATAAAATTCTATGAATGTAATGTAAACATTACAATTGTATAAGATGTATGTATTTCTATACATATATTTGATATATATTAGGTGTTGGAATTAATTCGTAGCGTTTTACAAGTGATGGGAAGTACTTTCATTAATGTATTTTTTAATGGTCATGTGAAATAAATAACATTCTTTCATTTAAAAACGCTACGAATTAATTCCAACACCTAATATATATATATATTGTTCAGAATATAGGTCAGTTTTTGATCGACAGGAACGCGTGTATGTTTCAAAGGCCAACAAATTTGTTAGCAATTGATTTATTTGCGTTGGAAATTTGTGGACCAATATATATCATTAGAATATTACTTTATTTCTTTTTTTATTTAATTCTCGATTATTTGTTAGAAAAGAGTTTAGAATTTATCTTCAAATTCTCAAACACATTGAATTTTTGTTACAAATCTTGTTCTAGAAAATTAAACTTAGATAATTAAAATGGTAATTTTTAATTAAAAGTAAATAAGTAATTATTATAAATATGGTAACAAAAAAGGGAGAAAAAAATATAAAAAATTTAAAAAATTATTTTAATTATTTAATTATTAAAATATATCTGTAAATTTTTAGAATGCCTTTTGGATTATCATTATACTTACACAATATCTATTTAATATAACATATTGTGATTATTGTAATCTATATTTACACTTTGTACAAAAAATATTGCTAAAAAAATATTTGTTACATGCTATTACAATACCTTCTAGATATTTGCTCAAGATATAAAAGAAATAATATTTTTCTAATATGAAGTTTCAATTGCAAAGAAATGTTATGGAAAGCATGGTGAATTGAGATTCGATGATAATCCAAGGCAAATTTTGAAGTAAAATTTTATAAATAGTACCCACATATTTTACGGCCAACAGAAAAGACGCACAGTTCTGGCGAGGACGGACCAATTATTTACCTATGCCTTTACGCTTGCCATTACCAAAAATACACGCTGTTAGCTACTCTCAGGGTCCTCAGTGCATACCTATTTCATATATGCATCTTCATCATATGAAACGGGATTCATGTTATATACGTGCGTACTTGCACTTGAATCTAGAGTGTTGAAGTTTACCTGAGAGTATTTCTTTCTCGAAATATATTTATTTTTATTCTCTCATTCCTTTCTTTACAATCTTTTGTTTATAGAACAGCACGATTTCGCACATAGTATGTAATAATGTGTAAAATAAATTTTATTCTTAATTGCACGCCAAAATCTTTTGATTTATAATAGATTCAAGCAATTCGCTGTGTGTGTCTCATTTTTTGCTATTATATTTACATTAATAGAAATTAGAAAAAAACGTTGCTGTATAAAAATATTTTTAGCAGCCATTAAAATATATTTTGATTGACGTAATCAACTTGTCTCTACCTTCTATTAATATGTCAGAGCTTAATATGATCAGAGCTAGAAAATATTTGAAAATTTCTTATAGTGAAATCGTGAAATAGTAAAATCATAAGAAACTGCAAATATAATTTTTTATATAGAGAGAGAAAAAAAAATTCAATACTTTTTTGTGAAATTTATGGTTCTTATTATTAATTTTATTATTCATAAGAAACAGGAGTCGGCTTTTTGCTGCATTTTTATTTCGTGATATAGTATAATAATATTTTACAGAAATGTATATCTTCCTAAGATTAATTTTATAATCATAACAAAATTATATTTAGATATAGCATTTTTATTTCACAACTCTATTACGTTAATATTAATATTTGTATTAATAGAAAATTTATATTTTTTTTATGAGTTTATTATGAACTTTTCTTTTATTGTAATATATAATACATTCACTTACCGCTTTTGCCGACTCCTGGAGCTCCTATCACTGCTACTTTAACTTCGCAAAGCGAACTTTTCTTTCTTCTGATACCTCTAATCGCATTTGACGTCATACTACAAGCATTTGTCACTGCAAGAAAATAAATTAGAATGACATTGAATCATACAGAAACATCTAATAAATATCTGAAAAAAAAGTTTCTAATGATGTTCAATTATACTCTCGGAAGAATAAAGGAGAGGATATATATCTCAAAACATAAAAATAACTTTTAACTGCATTCTATTATTACAAAATGAAAATATTATACTTTTATAAAAAGACAATTTATATAAAGTATGATATCTTTAGTATTATTTTTATTATTAACGATAGTATGAATAAATTAATGATAAATAAATTAGTGATAAATATTTATTGTTCTCTTCTTCTCTCCTAATATTGCTATTACTATTTGCAAATTTAAAAATTTACGTGATTGCATTACAAAAATTATTTTTGAAAGGAAGGAACATCCAAATATACTTATATTTATTTACTTATATTTAACATATTTTGCATTTATCATGTTTTGTCGTCAAATTAGTATTTCGTTGTTTTTTGGATAATCGAATTACGATTTATATACCGGATGTTCCACTTCTTCTAGAACATAATAAAAACGAACATTTTTACGGCATTTCGTGGCATCCGCCGCTTGTTTCTCTTTGGACGCGTGTTTGAATAAATCGCGCTACACGTTGAAAGAAGAAGAGAACGGCAAGAGTGCCTGTCAAGAAATGAGAGAAAGAGAGATAAAGCGAGAAGCGGATAAGACGAAGGCAAGATGTGATGGGTACATTAATAGAACGGTTTGCACACACATGTTCCATGGAATTTCTCGGGAATTTCTTCCAATGTCTAACAATGTACCGGGGTTACGAATACCGGGCGCGATGAGAACAATAATGCGGTTTGTTACGAAATTTCTATATAATCTCATGTGCGATGGCGTAGATTCGACATCGCTTCTAATCTAATAAAGAGTTTATTACATTCTATAGTGACTACATTATCATAAGATATTTTTAATTTATCTTTCGTAAATAGTTAATAAATCTTTAAATTGTAATGTGAAAACTAATGCAAATGCTCTTCTCTCTCGTAATCTCTAAAATGTTAAAATATGCGCTGATGTACTTAACGACACATTTTTCTAAATGAATGCGCATTAATGAATCTTGGAACATTTGATCGCATAATAAAATAGCCGCGATCATATAGCGCAGATATAAATAGATGTCGCTAATGACGTAAAAATATGCAAATGAATATACCTAATATAAGTAGATAATATTTAACACAAGTAAATACTTTTTCGCCGAGAGGTACTTTCTCCTTTCCTTTGCATAAGTATGAAATATTTTTTATCTCTTTTTTTCATTCATGTCAATATTTTATAATTACTTAATAACTAAAAAAGCTACTAGACACTTCCAACTATAAAACTATAAAATGTATAAAACTGTATTACTTTTTATGTTTGAAAAGACTATACACTCTTAACGATTTTGGTATCATGTAAAAATATACACGATTATTGATATGATTTCTCTCTCTCTCTCTCTCTCTATATATATATATATATATATATATATATATATATATTTGATGATTTTTTCATTGATGAAAATCTTACGTTAACAATTGACAAGCAAATATATGACACCATGTGCAACATATATTTAATTAAATAAGCCAAAAAAATAAGGCAATTTACTTATATTTAAACTATTTAAAGTATTTTCACTTACCGAGTCAACTAAAATACACTCTGCTACAACTCCACTATTATTTTCCGTTTTACACGTTTTATCAGTTCATATTGCAATTAAACTGTTCGTCGAATAACGATAAGAATGCATAGTTCTAACTTGAAATACAGAATGTTTCACGGAATTATCTATTGACAATTAATTTTGTAAGATCAATAAATCAATAGATCGAACACGAGACACTAATAAGGCACAGCAAACCTATTGGTACGATTGAATGATAAAAAAACGGAAGAAGATAGATCGACTGATTGCGCGTCTGTCACGTGAATGGCAACAGTTTCATTCGAATTCGCGGCTTTGTGAACCGCCGCGGCTCTTGGTCTTAGCGCGACTGTCTCGCCCCATTCTCTTCTGGCGGCTCGCGAGTCCCGCCGGTTCCCTTATTGCTCTTAAGCCATGTACATGCGGTACCCGCTTCCGGTACAGATGTGTGCGCAGACGAAGGTCGAGATTTGAAACGGCCGATGTCCCTCCGAAGCTCAGGAACGTGCCGTCTTCGCGTCGGGATATAATTGGAATGGACGTACGCGCCGCGACGCGATGGGCAATCGCGATGTAACCAATGTTTCCTAGAAACGCGGAAATTTTGCCAAATGCATCGATTGAATCATGATTAGTGACAATTTTACAAGTAATTATATTGAAACATTTTTAATAAATTCTATACAAAGTTAATGGACTTAATTAATGGATGAAATGACAAACAATTTTAAATATTAAGCTTAATGATATGTACGACAGTAAATATAAAATTTTTTTCGCAATAAGTTTATTATAGTTTTTTAAGATTAATTTGGGAAATTTGGGGGGATTATTAATATTTCAGATCAATTGCATTTAATGTCGACAACCATATCGGCACGCAATTATCATTTCTGAAATTAATTCATTTGTTTGAAAATATATATATTAGTTCAACATCTCAATACTCAGACTGTAGTGGCGCTTCTTTTAAAGTAATAAAATTTTTTTATTAATTTTTTATAACAACAAATTTATTTTGTCCGATAGTTGAGTCAAGTCCATTGACTGTTTAGTCCACTAACTAGTACATTTATCTTATACAATGTTTTAGTAAGAATATATTAGTTGTCTTCTCGTGAAAATTTGTAGCGAATAAAAATCTAAAATTAAATGCAAAGATTTATCCAAATTTATAAAATACTAAAAATTACACTTTTTGAACGCAAGATTTTCTATTTAATAATAAAATTATTCGATATATAGTATGTGTGCATGGATGCATGGAATAAATACTGCAATATATAACTTTATAGATATTTATATTTTATTACGTATGTTAATAGAAAATCGGAAATGAAGAAAAGAAGAAACACATAAATTTATTCTTAAAAAAGATACGTCAATAAAAATAAATGTTGTTGCTATGTAAAAATTAATAATAAAATACTGAAAATCGTCAAATAATAATTTACTATAATTTTAGAATTATCTTCATATTACATTAAGATGAAGACGTAGATCTCTGCGTTTATCGACAGTTTTGCACTTTACTGCTGCAGGTACTTCGTTCGTTTAGAGGAGCCACGTGTTGGTCCGTTCAGATTCGAAAATTTCTTCCTTTTCGACTTTGTCAGTCTGTTTTCGATGTCGTTTTGATGCCTCTGGGCAACCACCAAAAAACCAGTTTACAACTCGAAGTAGGACTGGTTTAACCCGATCTGAATAACGAATCAATTAATTTCAGAATTTTTCTGACATTAAATTACATTTACTTGCTGTAATAATTATAATTGATCATATTTTTGATTATATTTTTTTGAAACATATATATTTTTTAAATAAACATTTCTAATAAGCTCTTGCATTTTAACGTTGTAATTACATATTATTTATGGGAAAGATTCATCTGGAAAAAATTATCATCTGAATACAAGATTGAAAGTATAATAATCTTCATAAAAATATATTAGGTGTTGGAATTAATTCGTAGCGTTTTTTAATGAAAGAATGTTATTTATTTCACATGAGCATTAAAAAATACATTAATGAAAGTACTTCCCATCACTTGTAAAACGCTACGAATTAATTCCAACACCTAATATATTACGATTAATTATAATAATTGTTTTTAAAAATGATAAAAATAGTAAAAGATAATTAAATTTATATTAAAGTATTCTATATTAATTAAGTATTCCTCGTGCGATAATCTTTCGAAATAGATTATTTTGTTTTCGATTGGATTTTACTATTTGATTTGAGTTGAATCCTACGTCACGTACTGTTTGCAATCGATGAATTTTCATAACAATCATGAGTAAAACTTTTTGTGTCATGAGGAAATCGATGATTTTTTTTTCGAAGTCCATCATGTCGTTTTGTGAATAGTTTTTCTGTACATAATAAATTGATAATTTATTTTTATTTAATAATATGCGGGTATGAAATGGTATATTAATATAAAATATAATGGTATATTACCATAACGAGAATCCATTTGGTTGTTTATGACCATTGTCACGTAATCTTTACTTGACTGACATCGAGAAAGTATTGCAATTTCTTCGTGCTTCTGAAAAACGTAATAGCTTTTAGATTATAAAATTTAGGTTATAAAATATAAAATGCTATTTAATTTGAAGAATGATTAGAATATGATAATTAATTCAGAAATAATATTATATTTATTACATTCTATTTATTACATTATATAATATAATATAATAATTGCACGCGCATGTACACATACCACACAATCAAAATTTTGTTTAGTCTGCATTTTTTTATTAGTATCGATGTTGCTTATGTTCTCCTGTTTTTGAGATGGAGTTTTGAATTTCCTAAAACATTATAATAGCATCTCGAAAAATTTTGTTTCTTGCTATAAAATTCTTATTTGCTTTCCTGCAGCTATCACCAATATTTGTTATAATTTTTCGAAAAATGAACATAATTTCTCAAATTAAATTTTATCGGAAACTTTTCGCTATTGATACATTATTACTAATATAACTATATGATAATCATTGCTTTCGCACATCAGTTCATACTTGGTATTATTTTTATCAATAATTTCTGAAATCGTGCTGGAATCTGCTTTCTTATTTAAAGAATTTTCTTGCAGCGAATCAATATGATTTTTTAATTTATCCGCCGACATTGTACACGTTGTTTTCAGAATAGGATCCTGTAGAATTACTACATTGTTTTTTTTGCATCTCTCATCGATTATTGTTATCTGCTGTGGCTTGTTCCTACAAGTATTGATATTTAAGTATACATTCTATAATAATAATTATATTGCATATTGTTGCATGAATTCTTGTATAAAGATATAGCTATTTCTAATATAAAAGATACATGCTATTAAATGCTCGACCATTTGCATTCTTCACGGATTAACCAAATGATATTTTAAAGATAAGGACGTAAAAGGTCAAATGAGTGATATGACGCGGCATGTGTCTTCCTTATCGAAAATATGTAATTTTCGATGTATTAAGTTCCATTTCATCAATAGTCTGACAGTGATGTAATTATGTAAGTTGATAATCCTATTTCATATGACATATATACATACTCGGTTATCATTGCATTGGATTCCGGCAACATATTATTGATCGCATTTTGATTATGACGATTATGTCGATGACGTTCATGTTTTCCACCGATAGTGTGCCTTGCGCGGAATTTCTTACTTTTGTGTTTTCTATATATGAAATTCTTATATATTATTTATTAGGACATTAATATTTGCATAATAAAATATTAAATATGAGCGACATCTTTTATATAGATCAGGCTTTCATAAGTTACTAGCTGATTTATCTTCGCAAATAGAAAAACTAAGCAAAAATATAACTGACCTTATTGATTTATGATTATCGTTATCCAAGTTTGTTTTGTTAATGTATTTTTGACTATTTCTTATATCTTCTTCGTATACTTTTCTGTATAGTTCTTGTATTCTTAGTTCTTTAGTTTCATTTTCATATCTCGCTTTTATCTTTTCATATTTAATTTCATCTATATTTAAGGCAAACTTTAATCCATTTGCAACAGTATCTATCAAGATGCAACATGTTCTTCGAGCATCTAAAAAAGCATATAAAATGTAATATAATGTATTTATAATATAATATAATTTATTTATACATTATAAGAATTTGTGTCTAATTGTTGCATGAATTTAATACATTTCACTTTATTCTTTTCTCATTATAATTTAATAAATAAGTAAAGCTGAACAGAAATATAAATCTGAAAATCCTAAAAAATTTTTCTTTCTAGCTTAATTAAAATAGAATATATTGAAATCTTGAATGGATTACTGTAACTAAAAACATAAACGATACAGATCTATAATATTTTAACGATAAATTGTAGAAGTTTACGGTTAGAAAAATGTTCTCGTAATGTGATATTACATAAAATCTTAATTATGTTCGGAAGTCAATCAAAAATTATAAACGATGATAAAAATTACAAACGGTGATAAAAGTTCTTTCTTTCTCTCTCTTTCTTTTTTCTTCTCTTTTTCTCCTTTCACTTGACGTTTTTTTCCTTTTCCTACTTACATGAACGTGACTTGGGCACGTAATACAAAACGACACCACACAACATTAACGCGATTAACGAGAGTCGCTTCAGGTAGGTGATCCACTCAAGCACGTAGAATTTCTCGTCGAAATAACCTGATGAGTAAAGAAGGAAGTCACTTGAATGACGAGAGAAGACATCACTTTCTCTTACCATATCCATTTTGCGATTTGGCGTACACGCATTGCGTAGCAAACGCAACAGTGAGGACTATAAATTTCATGACATTAGATGCATTTGTTTAAGTATTATTTTTCATTATTATATTTTAATCATTAATCATAGTATTCCGGATAAAAGAGAAAAAGGAGAAAGAATTTGAGTGACACATGCATTCTGAAGCGATGTTCGTCACAACGTAAGAGGCAATTTCACTTCGTTTCAAGTATTTCCAGTTGAACTTACGTCTTAATTATGCTTGATGAACGGCTAATATGGCTAATATGATAAGTCAATAGTTATATCACGCATTTACAGGATTTTCACTTTGTAATTACAGACGTATCGCGTAAAAAGATAATGACACGTGTAAGATTCATATCTTAATTTTTTATTATGCTCTGAGTACTTTACAATATAATACAAAGGAAACATGTCATAAGTATTGATCGTCTTTACTACAATCTAACAAGGATGGGTTACATGCACGTACACGTATGAGAAAAATATTTCATACGGATCGATGCGATAACACAGCGTGCGCAAGCGGGGACTCGCACTACTCGTTAAATAATATTATCTTTCTAAAGCAATATCGCTTCGTAACTTCTGGAACTGTTTGGGGAACTATTATCTCCAAAGAGTTCGATCGAACAAAAAGCGATACAGCGCCCAGATGCGAACTATCTAAGTAAGAACACAACTTAAAGATATTCTTTACGAAATACTGTTTAATTCGATGTAGGTAAATTCTAAATTAAGTGCGACAAGCCAATAAGAACATTTACTGAACGGTCACTTCTTATCGGCTAGTCCAGGAGAACCACCCTTAATTCGCGAAAGAAGAGAATACTGTACGCTCAAGTTTGAACAACAAATTCTATCGCGATGAGGAATCAATCCCGCGAATTCTACAAGTTCTACAAGACTACGATATAATTTTTAGCTACAACCATCTCGCGTTACAACTTTTTTTTGCTAAATAGATTGTACTACGAATTATCGGGGCAGATGCCAGTGTCTGCTGGATTAAGTAAATTCATGTATAACATAGCGTACTAACATAATAATACAATATTATATAATAGAATAGAACGAAATAATAATAATTAATAATTAATAATAATATAATAGTATTTTGAGAATCTTTCATGTGCATGTACGCGCAACTATGGATAAAAAAAACAATTCTATTTATTCAAAGATAATCTTGTGATATGTATTTCCGCTTATTTTGTGTCTTAAGAACAAAAGATTGGACTGTCACAATTTACTTAATTAAGGTGTATGATTATCTTGACGAAACGTACACAATACAAGCTGACATTCGTGTGCATCAAAGTAGAGTAAAGTCACTGTTTATAATCCAGTTTATAATCAGATTCACTGTTTGTAATCAGTGCGCGTACATGCATATAACAACGCAAATGAACGACTTTATACACGAAATGAAGGACGAATTACGCAATAAAAATTATGACAATGAGATGATATGCTCCACCGAACCTGGAAGCTGAAGTTTCGATGCAATTCAAAATATTTTTCTTATTTAAAACAAATAATTCTTTCGCGATGGTCTTATAACTTCCTTAAAATTACTGGTACGCTTTCGAAATATATCATTAAAAGACTCATCAAGCTCTGTTACAATTACTAGGAAGAACGTTTTTTATAGTATAATAATTATCTGCTATTCTTTGATAGATTATCGAAAATTATTGTCACCAAAGAGTTTAAAGATTATTTAATTGGCTAAGTGATCGATTTCGAGGTTCGATGGTTCGCAAAAGGAATAATCGAATCATAAACGAAAACGCGCAAGTTTTTTTCATCCTTACGCAAATTGTCTCGCTTTCATTTTGTTGACGGCATTCATAAGGTGGGTCATTTCGGTATTGAGTTGGGAAAGCATACCCTCCAGTCTATCAACACTGTCAAGGACTTCGACGCGTTGCGTATGCGGATTGAACCTGACCTCGAATGGCCGGCTCATAGTGGCCACCTGTAAGAGAAACCAAGGTTCATGACTAAGCTTATTCTACCAAAGTGAGAAATAACAGTTAGCGGAAATGAACAGGCTACTATTCTTTATTTGCAATAAATGGAAATAAAAAATATTGAAGAAATTAAGAACGAAAAGAAAAAAAGAAGATTAATCTACTTCGCTTCTAATACTTTTGAATTTATCGATAAGTGTACATATAGCAAGAATTAAAAACTTTGGCAAATTGTAGAAAAAAAGAAATTTAATCCGAAAATATTTAAATTTATATTTCGAAATTCATTTCATGGGTTAGGTAATACTGAACACAAAGCATTTACTCAAAACGATTTCATCAAACACATTGGAAATAATTAGCATTTTCGTATTTACCCAACGACGGAATTTCTCCTTAGCATCTTCGAAACTCTCGGCCACATAATATATCGGTTGGTATTCTTGATCTTGATATTTCTGGAGAGCGGTAATTGACGGATCGAAAGCTCGATGTTCGCATTTATCGCTCAATGCGTGCAAGAGTTCACCGTAAGCTGACAACAAGCCAGCACCATAAGCCTTGACTTCAGGACCTTCCTTACATAATCCGAATTCAACCGTGAACCAGTAAATAGTTGATAGCTTCTCGATTTCTTCATCTGAAGCGCCAAGAGACGCTAATCCAATTTCTTGCGAAAATTGAGCGAAACTTGGATCGGCCAAAAGCGGCATATGGCCCAAGAGTTCGTGAATGCAATCTCTGCAAATAAAATAAAACAAACTTAAAGAATATTGCGTGCTTGTCTTAAAATTCGTACTCTTAAAATTTATCCATATCCTATTTTTCTATTCGTTTCATATTTAAATTTATTGCTTAGTTAATTTTAAATGTGAAGATTTGTAATTAAATAAGATTTGCAATTTGCAATATTTAAATGCTTAATTTTACATCAACAGTAAAATTTTAATTGCATTAAATAAATTGAACATGCTAAAATTAATTAAAATCCATCAAATAAATGGTACGAACTCAAGGAGCTATTCCATTCTTACAATTTGCAAAGCTATCTAGAGTTCTTGGAAATCATACTGTGACGTGGATCGCTACGCGGAGAAACGAGTTCGTAACTGTGGAACTGAGTTATCAACGCCATCGTGTCGTTAAAAGCCAATTAGAGTTCCATTACGAGCTTAGAGAGGCGCAGTAATTCTATTATCATCGTTCTCTGTGTACCACCGGGTGCAGGTTCCCGTCATAACGCAATATCGATTGCCTTGTAGTTTGACATGAAGGGGCAGCTGTGATGCGGAGTCAGAGCGACCTTTACAATGCCTGATTTTTATGTAAAGATGCGTTGCAGCTTTATGCCTTCGAAGCGATATTTTATCGAGTCTCATTATGAACTAGTCATGTATAGTATGTTCTTTTTATATCTGCATATTTTGCTTATACTGAATTAAAAAAAAGTAAAACGTTTAAAGTTTTAAAATTTTCTGGACAAGATGATTTGCAAATGGCATGTTCAATATATTTAAATTTAATCTTTATCCATTTTTTAGAATAATCTAAATGTAACAGAAACGTTGTTGAAAAGAAGTAACTACTCCAATACTATTCCAATAACTATTTTTTGATCCCGATAAATTCGAACTAATGAAAGTAAAAAATGATAAAAATTAGAAGCACTTACGGTTCGGGAGTGTGATACGGGCTGTTGATGTGGCGGACATATTGGGTGCTCTGGAATATTCTGAAGGCAAGACTGGACAAGAAGTCCCGCGCTGTCAAGAGACCGGCGGCCGGTCGAAGAGTGAATCCTGTGCTCTTCTTTAAGAAATCGCTGACTTCCTGCAACTGTGGTATACGGTGAGACTCGAAGATTCTCTCCTCTTGCAATTTCTTGAAGGTTCTCTGGTATTCCACGCACGCGTGTTTTGGCACCAGGTCCAACACAGTGTTGAAGACGCGTGACCAAGTTTCGTTTTCCGTCTCGGTGTAAGGAATAGAAGGTATCGGATCGCCGTACTTGTAAGCGAAAGCAATTTCGGCAATGACCTTGCGACGAGCGCGATACTCTTTGTCGGCGAAGCCTGGATGATTCATGTCGAGATCCGGCTCGTACTTAGTCATTAGGTGGTTACAATTGTCGAGATCAGAGGCGTGACGGGGAAACCAGGGATCTTTGATGCTGACGGAATTGTCGGCGAGCAGGTTCACGCCGTCCAAGGCCGAGCTTTGTCGTAGATTTCTAATCAACTGCAACAGACTCTGTCTGCTCATGTCAATCTTGACCAAGACCTCGAATTGCAGACCCTCCTTCTTGGAGGGCCGTGATTCAACATGAGTGATCGTGCCCTTGAAATTTTCGATTGTCTTTAGGATCCTGCCTAGAGAGCCGATACCCTCTCGCAATCTCAATACCAGCGCCGCTTTCTGCACGTTGTGCTCGCTATCCGGAGATTCGGCTATAGTTTTCGCGAGCACTACTTCCTCCTCGGTTAATCCAGCATCTGTGAAAAATCGAACATCGTCTAGATTTTTTGCTTGATAATGACATCAAAAATTTTTCTAAATGAACTCAAATTATCCATCAAATAATTTTTGTTAAGATTTCTCTTAAGACATCTCTTAAAAAGATTTTCATCGCAACATGACATTGTTCTTGTGGGACACTAGAATAACTTATTCGTGCACAATTAAAAAAAAAATTAAAATAAATTAAAATAAACTTTAATGTATATCACAACTCATCTTTACATCTCGGTTATAAATCGTAATTCGCAATTCGTTATTTGTTGTCACACTCTTAATTTGACGACTCGACATTAACAACGATTCGCAAATTTTTTCGACAATAGTTCTTTGTTCTCCTATTCGTCTTGATCGAGAAATCAATACGTGTTATACAACTCCTTTGGTTAGACGACAAAGAAACTCATGCAGCTACGGTTAGACGGAAACATAAACCAATGTCGACCTTCTCGATCAATTATTAAAGACACTCTCGGTATATGTCGCGTGATC